AGTGCTGAGCTCAATGGTACTGGTACCCTGGGAGCATCCTCCCACCCTTCCTGTTTAAAGAGGAACTGGCATCTATAGCCGTTATTGCCCCACCCCCACTTCTCCCAGATTTAGATTGACTGTGTGTATAAAGTTTACCAGCCACAGTAGGCTCTGTTTCCCATCCTTGTTATAGGGCCTCCTTTCAGTTCAATATGCTTTTATTGGCACTTCCTTTGGTGTTCTTTACAGCAGCAGCTAATTAGTGACAGCTTTTGAGCAAGCAGCTTGTCATTTTTGGCAGGGATAGGGGACATCCATAGCTAAGTTTATCATGCTCCATGAAAATACATCTCACATTTGAAAAGCGTCTGTAGTCAAAGGTGGCTGTTTCTACTGAAACGTCCTCTTGAGTTGGCACTGTGTCCTACAACTGAAGAACTCTCTGGAGATAAAGAGTGGCATAGGTTCTGTGTGTGTTGCTGACGTGGGAGCCCTGAGTCACCCTCCTAACCTTACCCTGCCTTGGGGATGTCAGACCGCATCATGTTGTTCTGACATAGCGATAAATCTTTCTAGGTGGCATTTGGTGGCAAGCATGGCAACTGAAGGAGTGTAGGGTGCTGGTGCTGTGGTGAGCGCTGTCCCTCCATTTACACTCTGCTTTCTTCCTGCAATGTCGCCAAAGGAACCCGTGTCGTTTGCATGGACATGAAGGCTCAGATCAGGGTTGTCATAGCCCTTGTCATTCTTCTCTTTGGAGTCACTGTAGTGAGGACTGAGGTCTATTTTACAAGCTTGTCACGATATTTATGGATGGCTCAGCTGTTGATTAACACCATTCATGAGTCAAAACCTCCGTCACAGTTTCTATAAAATGTGATTCACTCCCGTTACTCCCGTAATAAGGATTCAAACAACGTGTTAAAAATAACGCATTGACTGAAATAATTGACCCACCATCTATTTCTCCCAGTTTGGTTCCCTTTGTGGCATGGAGATCCACTGAAATTATATGTAATATGCGATTACCAAATACCTACCGTGTCCCAAGCAGAGCGCAAGTTAAGTTGTAACTCTAGAGAGGTAATGCAGTCTGTCCTTTAAATAACGAGCTGGTCAAACTGATGAGAGACACAGCACACAGGTTTAGTCATGGCTCTGTTTCTCACTAAGATGTGAAAGTATAAAAGGTACCTTCTTAGGAGCTTTGGGATTGCCAGGCGTTCTTGTCCTCAAAGTCCCCCTTGACGTGTCACACATATGGTAAAATGGAAGTTCTCTTCCATTGCCTACTTCTTTGTAGCATGGCTTGGTGAACCCTGAGAATTCCTGGCACTCAACTAACATTTAAAGCACACCGAGGTAGCAACATAGTTATTTCTGCATCTTCCAATTAGTATTTCCGAGCACAGGAACTTACTCACTCCAGTAACTGAATGCTGTTGCGACCAGCTTCCCTGGTGACACCCAGCTTCAACCTCCTCTACCAGCCCTCCTGTTCTGCCCCCTGGGATGATTGATGGGTTGTTTTCCCATTGGTGTGAGTGACATTATTCCTTTAAGAAAGCCAGAGTTTAGCACAACCCGTGATTAGTGTTGCTGGTGAAGAAACAGCACAGCTGGCATCCTAATTGCTTTGAATGATTGGTTAATTTTTATGTTTTGTCTGTCTGTATATCTGTGTGAGGGTGTCAGATCCCCTGGAGTTGGAGTTACAGACAGTTGTGAGCTTCCATGTGGATTCTGGGAATTGAATCTGGGTTCTTTGGAAGAGCAGAAGTGCTCTTAACCACTGAGCCATCTCTCCTGCCCCTCCCAATTGCTTCTTACAAGACGCACCTCATTGGGCAGCAGTTGCACACGCCTTTAATCCCAGGAGGCAGAAGCAGGTGGATCTCTGAGAGTTCAAGGCCAGCCTGATCTACAAGAGCTAGTTCCAGGACAGGTTCCAAAGTCACAGAAAAACCCTGTCTAGAAAAACCAAAAAAAAAACCAAAAAAAAAAAAAAAAAAAAAAAAAAAGACACACCACACTGCCCATTCCAACCATGAGTGTCAGGACCAAGGTTTCAGCCTTAAAGGGAAAGCTGCCCACTCCCAGGATGGTCCTTCTCTTGCTCCTCTTTCCAACCTCAAGCTTTTTTAACTAACTTCTGATTGGTTCAGAATGATGAAGATAACCACCAAGCCCTCCTGTGACTTCCTCTGGTTGTGCTTGAAGGCTTCCAGAAGGACTCTGAGTTAAAGCTTTCTTTTAAACTGGATGGTGACAGAGGCAGAGGCAGGCAGATCTCTGAGTTCAAGGTCAGCCTGGTCTACAGAGCGAGTTCCGGGACAGTCAGGACTACAGAGAGAAACCCAGCATGAAGAAAAGTGGGAGTGGAGGTGGGGGGGCCTTTCTTTGGGGTTATGTCTGTTGGGAAGTTGCACTCTGTAATCATTTCTTCTGTAGCTTCTAGTCTAAGGCAGCTGCAGAACAGAGGTGTGCTTCAAAAAGAGCTACTTTGGCTAAATGAAGATTTTTAACTTAAAAAATCCTTTGTGTATGTGTGTCCATGCATATGTACACCACAGTGTACGTGTGGTGTCGAAGAACACCCGCAAACTGTTCCCTGTTCCCACCATGTGGGTCCTAGGAATCAAACTCAGGTTGTTAGGATTGGCGGCTAGTGCCTTTACCCACGGACTCATCTCAGTGACCATTAATTAAGCGAAGATTTTTAATAAGCAAAGTGGTATGTCTGTGCTCTTTGAAGATTTGAAGCCTCTTGGGCTGTTGAGAGTCCCTAACTCTTAAGTCTGTTGCCTCATTTGTAACACAGTGACACCACTAGAGAGCCCCAGGTGTCCTTGTGAGACCTATGGGGCACTTGCTGAGTGTGCAGGTGGGCATGGTGTGTGGTGACAGCTTTGTTATCATCCTTCTGCCTCTCCGACCTGGATCCCCTTCTCCGCTGCACGCCAGCCCCCGCTGTGAAGCAGACAGAGGAGAGGAAATTAAGTAGCTTACTTTGTGTCAACATGAAATAGTTTCCAGCATGTAGCTTAATTTGGCCTATGTAACAAGTTTTTTCACCCCAGGAGCCCTCAGTTGTCTTCATCTCCTGCCCGGTGTTCTGAGGCTGGGGTTAAGCACGCTGGATCATCAAAGCCAGGCTTCTGTAGAAGAGCGCCTCCCACGAAGAGGCTGGTGTCTCTGTTGCCACCACAACCTGAAAGAGAGTAGTTAGAAACCACACGGAGCCGATGGTATGCTATGTGAGCCTGTCAGAGGGACTCATCACATATTTTCTCTTTTCCTGTGTGTGTGTGTGTGTGTGTGTGTGTGTGTTTATGTGCGTGGAGGTCCGAAGACAATTTCATGTGTCGTTCCTCAGACACCTTCCCTGTTTGTCAGGGTATCTCACTGGCCTGACATCAAAGTAGGCTATATTATATGGCCAGCAACCCTGTGTCTGCCATCTTGCCATTGCAAGAATTAGAAACATTCACGACTATGGGTTCTAGGGATTTGAACTCCAGTCTAGCCAAGTTCTTTACCAACTGAGCTATCTCCCCAGTCTAGCCCATCACATTTTCTCGGAAGACATATGTAGATAGTTAAGGGCAGGAACTGATCTGACTGAGCAAACCTTTAATAAAACCTTCATTTTCTTCCTTCTCTTCTCTTGTACTTGAAAGGATCTCCTGTCGCAGCCTGGAGGAGAACTGAGTGCAGATTTTCCTGAAGTCTGGTGCTCTTGTAACGTACAGAAGTCTGCGCCAGAATGTAATGCAGTGCGGTGGGCTCTAAAATCTTCAGTGTCATTTTAAGCATTTGGAATTACTATCTGAAGAAGATTTTAAACCTCTCTTGCTCATCAGTTTCTGGTCTTTTCTCCTTGTCTACTCTCAGAAGTGGTGTGTCATTCTCTGTGGCCTCTGGAGTTTTAACATCGAACGCATGCTGGGCATAGGGATGGCTGGACTTTTGTTTGTTTCATTTCAATTTTTTAAATGGTTTGTTATTTTTATTTTATGTACATTGGTGTTTATCTGCATCTGTGTCTGTATGAGGGTGTCAGACCTCCTGGAACTGGAGTTACAGGCTGTTATGAGCTGTTATGTGGGTGCTGGGAATTGAAACCAGGTCATCTGGAAGAGCAGCCAGTGCTGTTAACCACTGAGCCATCTCTCCATTCCCATCACTGTTTTGACTTTAGTTTGAGAAGAGAAAAGGCTGACATTTTATTTTTGTTGTTGTTGTCGTTGTTTTATTTTTCGAGACAGAGTTTCTCTGTGTAGCCCTGAGTGTCCTAGAACTCGCTTTGTAGACCAGGCTGGCCTCGAACTCACTGAGATCCACCTGCCTCTGCCTCCCAAGTGCTGGGATTAAAGACGTGTGCCACAACCGCCCAGCCTTGACATTTTATTTTTGTTAATCACTTAGAGAGCTTAAATGTCACTGTAACTCTTATCACCAGATTACTATCATATTTTTAGATAGAGACTTCTGGAATATTCATGTAAAATATGGGAATGAGGAGGCCAGCATGATGACTCAGTGGGTAAAGGCATTTGCCACCGAGCCTGCGGATCCAAGTCTGACTGCCGGGACCCAAAGTAGATGGAGAGAACAGACTCTGCCCTCTGACTGCCACACATATGCCATGACACACGTGTGCCACACATATAACATACAAAATAAACAACTAAAATCTTAAGATGGTTCCTGACCTTCCCCCACCTCCTCCCAAGTATGATCTCACTTTGAAGCTGGCGGTTCTTAACGGTTCCCTTGCTGTTTAGAAAGCATGGGGCCTCATGTTCTTCCTGCCTTTGACGTAGGCAGCCGAGACCCTTCAGTGGCAGAGATTCTGGGTCTCCAGTTGCTTGTTTTTCTTGGGAGCTTTACTGGAAACAAAATGTGATTGCGTACTAGCTTCAGAGGGGAAGTTGGCGAGAACTTACAGCTTTCTGTTTGGTCTGTCTGAAGCAGCTGACCTTTTGGAAGGAAATCGCTGCTCTTTGCTTCTTCCTGTACCATCGCACCCGATGAACGGTGAACGAGCGTAAATGGAGTTCTGCCTCCAGCCTGGCTGCCGAAGGCACAAGCCGTTAGGAGCAGGGGCCCCTGCACAGCCCTTGTTCACGGTGCTGAGCTATGTTTAGATGTGTTAGTCGCCGCATAGTGAGAGAAGATCTGTTTCCAGAAAAGTGGTTGTAGCAAAAGTGATTCTGTTTGGTGGCAGAGTCCCAACGCTAGTGAGGTAGTGAAAGTGGACAGCTTACAACTTCAGCTCGGCTCATCATCCCTGTCCGAGAGCGGCCCTGATTCTTCTGCCTGGATAACCATTTTCTCCTGTAACCATTTGTTTCCTGGCAGGAAAACATTTTAATTTCTAAGCAAGACGCTCTAATTCAAATGTCATGTCTGTGACCCAGAATAAAAATGGATGATAATTCATGTAAATGTGCGCAACACAGCAACCTGAACCTGCATTTGGCTCAGTAGGTAGGTGCGCTTTTCCAGTGTCTTCTCAGTCTGTTTCCTAGGTGTACTGTTGGGGCCGAGGTAATTGAGTGTGGTTAACATTGAAGTGGGGTGCACTCTTGCAGTACCGACACTTAGGAGGCTGAGGCAGAGGGTTTGAAAGGTCAAAGACAGCTTGACTACATGTTTAGTTTCAGTCCAGGCTGGGCTACATATAGGTTTCTGGTGCAAAACAAGTCGATGGCAGCCCAGCAGGCCAGTTTCTCCCAGTTCTGTCAGCTTCTGGGTAGGAGCGAACGGCTGAGGTTTTCTTGTACCTCATCTCATCCCAGCAGCTTTCCAGGGGCCTTGAGTCGTTGCTCTGCACCATCCAGGGCCATCTTCCAGGGCAACTGTGGGCAGGTGTGGGATTCACGCGGTAGAAGGAATTTTGGGACTGTTGTGCATGACTTTCTGTGGCTTTGGTTCTGGCTACAGCTGCTATAAGTTTTTTGGTTATGCAAAAGGTGAAAAGGGAGCCGACGGTACATATAAATAGACGTCAGTTCCACATTAATCTTAGCCATTAATAGTCTTGACCCACTGCTTGAAAACATATTAAGTTGCTAAGTATCTGAAAGTGATAGTATTACATTCCTCTAAAGAAATATTTTATGACTAAAGTTCTACTGTTTCATGTCCTACTTAAATCAAGGCCGTCTAGTTTGTAAGACAGTGCCATAACCTGGACACTCACATGTCAGGAAATGTTCTCTTCCTATGTCTTTAAAAAAACTAATTCATTAAGAGCCGAGTGTGGTGGTGCACGCCTCTAATCCCAGCACTCAAGCAGCAGGGGCAGGCGGATCTCTGTGAATTCGAGGCCAGCTTGGTCTACAAAGTGAGTTCCAGGACAGCCAGGACTGTTAGAAAGAAAAACCCTGTCTCGAAAAACCAAAAACCAACAAACAAAAATGCCAAACAAACAAGCAAAAAGCTAATTAATTAATATGTGTGTATGCATAGGTGTGTATGTACATAGTTGTATGTGCACACGTATGTGCAGATACATAAGTGGAAGACTGTCAAGCACTGGACTCTGGAAGAGTTACAGGCTTTTGTCAAGTTTGTTGCATGGGTGCTGAGATCTGAACTCCGGTCTCACTATTTCACAGCAGGCCCTTCTAACCACGGAGCCCCTTTCTCTAGCCCCCTTCCTGTGCCTGTGTGTCTGTGTGTGTGTCTTTGTTTGTCATAGGGACCCACTGTGCAACTCAGGCTGGACTTGAACTTGGAATTCCCACCTCAGACTTCCAAGGGCTGGTACCACAGCATGTGCTGTCCAGCCTGGCCGTCTTTGTGTACCCTTTTAAATTTGGTTTCCATGGGATGGTCATTAGTAATTGTCTATTGTTACTAATTTTATATTTTACATGTTATATTTTGAAAACTTATTTAGTTTGTGATATGGGGATGGGAAACAAACCTATGGCCTCTGTCATGGTAGAACACACTCCTAAATTCCCACATTTTAAACACAATTTAATAATTACAGAAAAGGATGAAAACACCTTTGCCTAAGTGTAACAGGCATTACATTCCTTGAGACCATTCTCTAGTAGGTCTTCAGCATACCTTCTGCACACACTTTTACCACATTCTTGTCTCAATCCCCAGAGATGTGTTGACGTGGTGTTTGCGTTTCAGCATGGTTGCCTCTATATGTGGTTCAGATGAATGTGTGTCATTCCATCAGGCTACAGCGCTACAGCTTTCCCAATCCCTTGGTCTATGTCATTTCCAGTTTCTCCCATAATAGATTGTACCCTTTAACTAGTGGCTGTCCTCAAGAGTTGGCCTAGAACAAAACACTCTTCAAAGAAAAATTTTGCTAAGTGGAAACAGTACTACAACTCTCAGTGGAAAGAGAGAGGCTATGAATTTTAATGAAGAAAATACTGGGAACATGTTTCTTATTTTCTGTAATGCAGATGTCATTATTTATGGGCTCCAGCAGATGCTTGCAGTCATCTGGAAAATGGTACAGTGGTAATTCTTCTATAATGGTGATTCCTTTATAATAACAAGTTGCTTGTTAGATTTTGGACTGGAGATAGTAATCCATAGGCAAGGATGCTGGCATCCCACTGCCCACAGCACACAGCCTGAAAAGTCCAGACCTTCATTCAGTACTGCTCAGGACCTGTTCCAGAGGAGTCACCAGTTGGTTGTCTATTGCTTTGTTTTTATCTTTTGACTTTTTTTTTTTTGCCCTTAATTCTGATTTTAAAAGTAAATAAGTTACAGTCCCAGGGTGTTGAAAAAACAGAACAGTGAGCTCCAGACAGGTTTCAGCAACAGCTGTGTCGTCACGCCTGTGTCTTCACCCCCCACACCACGCTTCCCGTCTCTGACGGCTAAAACACCGACTTCATGACCCCTTAGCCTTAGAAGCTGGAGTGCATGCCACTGAGAACTAGGGCACCTTCTAGCACAACCTCAACACTGTGTCACTCTCAAGACATTTACCCCTGACTCGAAGGCTGGGATGTGCTCAGACAGTCAAGCACCTGCCTAGCATTACAAGACCCTAGGTTGGGTCCTCACCAATGCGTAAACCAGGTGTGGTGACCCATGCTTGTATTCCCAGCACTCAGGAGGCAGAGGTAAGAGAATCAGAAGTTCAAGATTATCCTCTGCTGTACAGCCAATTTAAGGCCACACAAGACACAATAATATCCAATATATAGGCAGTCTGTAACTTTCCTTAATTATCTCAATAATGTCTTTTAAAGCCTTGTTTCTGCTTAAAAAGCAAACAAAAACCTTACATCTATCTATCTATCTATCTGTCTATGTGTGTGCGCGTGTGTATGTGTGTAAGGAAGTTCACATACAGATATCAAAGAACAACCTGCTGGAGTTGGTGCTTCTGCCATGTGGGTTGTGGGACTTGAACTCAGGTCATCAAGCTTGGCCGTAAGCATGTTACCTGCTGAGCCATCTCTCCACCCTATGTCTGCTTTTAATGAGCTCTTGGCTGTCATGTCTCTAAAACCAGTTCTGCTCTGTTGCTCCCTCCTCTCTAAATTCCTTCGAGTTTGCAGTTTGGATTTAGGGGGAATTTGTCTGGATCTTGATTGTTTATTTTTCCTTAAGGTGTATAGTTTAGTTGCAGTTACTTTTTACATCTCTCCAGCAGAGCAGCCCCCAGTGCTGCCCTCTATTCCCCATCTGGGAAGTCCTGGGAAACACAGCGTGCTTCCTGTGCATTCTGTCATCCTTGTGCAGGGGCCACGCCAGTCACCCCTGTTGTCCCAGTGTGTGTGCCACAGAGGAGGGGCCACGCCAGTCACCCCTGTTGTCCCAGTGTGTGTGCCGCAGAGGAGGGGCCACGCCAGTCATCTCTGTTGTCCCAGTGTGTGTGTGCCGCAGAGGAGGGGCCACGCCAGTCACCCCTGTTGTCCCAGTGTGTGTGCCGCAGAGGCAAGCACTGTTGATTGTTTCTTCCAGATTCTTTGTAATTTAGGTTTTTTTTTTCTTCTCAACGTGCCAAACCTGTCCAGATATATATCTCTCCAGTTGTATAGTGCCATTTGGCCTGATAGTTGTGATTGTTAGTGCATTTGTTAGTGCATTATCCACCAGATTCACCTGCTGATGTTTTTTTTTTTTTTTGTAATTTTTTGGTTTTGGAAGTTCAGGGAATTGATTGCAGGGTCTTGTGAATTCTAGGTCAGAGCTCTCACTATCTAGCTGTGCTGTGTTTCCAGCCTTCTTTTCATTTTGTGAATAGTAAGAAGCACGCAACTGTGCGAGCATCCTGTTTTCAGAGACGGGCAGCACCGTGGCCTAAGCAGCGATGTTGCTCCTTGTCTGGGTCTGCCTTATGTGTGCACATGGATGGTGGTCAGGTCAATGCTGGGTGTCTTCCTCAATTGCTCTCCAGTCTATCTTTTTGAGACAGGGTATCTCAGTGAACCATAAGCTCGCCAACTGGGCTAGACTAGCCAGCCAGCTCCAGGGACCCTCCTAACCGTCTTTCCAGACCTGGGATTACAAGCACGTGCCATCTTTTTTCTTGGTTCCTGGGGACTGAACTCAGACCCTAGTGACAGCATAGTAAAGGCTTTACCAACTGAGCCATCTCCCCAGCCCAGCCCACTCTATTCTTGAGGTTATGCGTGTTGCAATATAAACACATGTTGTATTTAGGTGAGAAGTTTAAAGATAGAAGAACCTGCTGATGTGGGCTAACCTTAGCAAGTAGCTCCCTCCTCCTTTCCCTTCCTGTCCCTTCCCTGCATTACCTCTCTTCTTCCCAAAGTGGCATGTGGTAACTGGGCTGCGATGTGAAGATTTATGGCTGATTGTCTTCCCAGAATGTTATTATCTGTGTTGCCTGGGTAAAGTATTTCTTGTTTCTTTGTAGACCAAACACATTTACTCCTGTTCCCTTACTGTCTGTGTAATGATTTTTTTTTCCTAAAAGAGAATTACCTTTCTGGTTGCTTATAAGCCAGCATTTAGTTTTTGTTTTGTTTTGTTTTGTTTTTTAAAGGGCAGATGGGTCTGGTATTGACCTACTTTTAGATGTGGTCATTTTACTCTAACTTTGCTTGATGTCAGGCCAATATGAACACAATCTTAATCCTCTACCACTGCATTTAATAATTTCTGTCTCTCAGAGTCCTTCCTACTCGGTGATCATCACCACCTAGCACAGTAATAATATTGAGATTGACAATGAGGTCATCAACATGACCAGGGACCTGGCCCTTTATACTCCTCCAAGGGTCCCTCAGTCCTCAGTGGGTGCTGGGAGGTTAGCAGTTTGCAATGCTGGCTTCTTGCCTTGAACTTTTCAGATCAGAAACAATGTTTATACACCCAGTTCATCTGCCAACTGGCCCTAGCCTTTGCCAAAATCAGTCTCCCGATATTAGGTTTCTCGTTCTGTTTTCTTCTTTCTCTTTAAATTTTGAAGTATGACAACATGTGGAAAAGAACAAAAAGTAGCATGACAACTCACCACAGTCCTG